GACGAAATTGAACGAAATATGCCATTAAGCCAATCTATCATAATGCCTTCTAAACAAAAAGGCAGAAAATTGGAAACCCAGAATAGACTGAATGATCTGACTGAGAATTTTATTTGTTTTTAAAAGTATATGCGTTTATATTGTTTTTATTTTTGTAAGAAATAAATGTTTGATTTTATTTTTATTTAAAAAAATTATTAAATTTAATGCCTAACCATTTTTTATCCGTCTTCCCCTAACCCCATTATTTACATGTTAAGATAGCCTCGCTTAGCGCTGTTTCACATTACGCTCTACTTCGATGGAACGTATCCCCCGCGTTAAGCGGGGTCTTACTGTATACTCACATGAGAAATAATTTACTGGGATTCATATTCTGAGTTTACAATCAGGGCCAGTTTAGGGGCTCCACAACACTCACAGTTGTGAAGAATCCTGTAAGATGGTTTAACATTAGATGATTTTTCGTATATTTTACAGCAAATCTGCACAATACATATCACAAATTATATTGCAACTTCATGAGATTAATGAAAGCTGAATGATAATGGATATAAAAACTAAAAACAAAAATAAGAAAGAAAACTAAATCTAATTTTTCACCGGAACTGTACTGTTCTACTTCAAATTCAATTCTCAAAATCAAAATTAACAATCACCAAGGGCATGTCAACTTGACCATTCCCCGCTGGGTAGATGTCCAGTAACAACTGCCCTTTCTTCTTAAATATGTTAATACTTAATTGCTTGTTTTTCTGAAACAGTAGGAGAAAGTCTGGGGTAGCTGCAAATGGCACACATAAAGGCAAGAAATTATGCCAGCACATAGGGATCCATTACAAATGAGGAAGAATCCATTACAAAAAGAGGGGATGGTTTCACTGTTCTGAGAAAAATATCTGGGTGTTGATCATGTAGTATTCCAGTCCTGGGATATACTAATTTCACATGCATGTTTTATTTTTCCAGAAATGGTTTAAAAATAAGGAATAATTTCAAATTCTAAAAATAAGGAATTCTGAGGTCTACATCAGTACTATGATCAACTAAGTGGTTATAATATAACTTCCCGAATTTTGCACTTAAAGATACAGAATTTTATATTTTAATAATTAAAGTATAATGAATGTTTCATTAATTGGAAATTTAGTTAGGTATGGGCTGTATAAAAAGTTACACTTTCTTACTTAGATAGCCCATCCCACTCATTATGCAAAAGTTGTTTCATATAATTATATGCCTTTTAAGAGAAATTTTGTAACATGATGCATATTGCATCCAAAAAAAATTCTACAGAAATGAAAGAAAACACAAATTTAATATATATATATATATAAAAGGATTTTTTTGTTGTTGTTGTTATTATTTATGGTGATTTTTAGGCCATTGATTTTAAGAAACACATTAGTCATCTACAGCAGTGGTCCCAAATTAGAGGTCTGCGGGCCACATGTGGTCCTCGAAGCAATTCTATGCAACCCACAATTACATTTTTATTAAGTATTTGTTGCAAAGATTTCAAGATTTTAGTTCTTTTAAGTGCTAGTTTACATTATTTTCATTACCATAAAAAACAAACACGAATAACTCATCAGCAAAATCAATAAATGGAGCTAATTTATCTACAATGTAATATATTTGTACTTTTAAAAAATAAACATACTCAATTATGAATTTTTGCACTAAGAATAATCACTTTTTTTTAATACATTTATGTGTGAACAGCTTGTTTTCACATTTGAAAGTTAACAAGAAAAAATCCTGATTGACGAATGAAGCTCTAAAATCCATGATGAAAACAATTTCTAGTAATTTCTTTCCGAGGCTGCAAACTGCATCAGAATTGAAATGTCATCAAGTGTCACATTACATTAGGATGTAAGGAAGTTCATAATTATTTACATACAGACATATGCATTTTTAATTATGTGTCAAGGAAATTTTAATAAATACAAGGAAAAGAATAAATTGTAATTATTTACTCTCAAAGTTTGTTTCCACTTGGAAAGCTTTCTTGAAAAATAGAATTTGTTTACTTTTAGTTTAAATTAAAGTAATTTATTTAATGATTGATTAAGCATGTTAGAATTACTTGAAATAAATGTCAACCTGAAAATTTAATATTTAGCTTCAATTCATTTGAATTACAAAGCAACCAACAAAAGTGTTTTTTGGAAGTACCAAACTTTAGATTTCAAAGAGAAATTAAATATAAATTTGAATTTTGTTTCTTTTGTGATAATATTATTATTATCTGTGCATAAGTACTTAATAGCGAAATTTTAAATATATTTAAAATATTTTTTAATTCTTTTAATAAAATAATTCCCTTTTACTTTAAAAAAAAATGTAGCCTATGTGCTGCTTTCAATAGTATACGATAGTATACTCGGCTTGCATGCAATTTCACCTTGTGACTACTGATTTAAAGCATTACCTTAATTATCAAAAAAATTAAAAAACATAGAAAAAAGAGAAGTAGAAACTAAATTGATAGAAATTAAAAGCAGAGGAAGATAAATTTTAACATGTAATAATGTTTTAAAATAACTGCATATTTAAAGAATTTTACTTATAATGTTTCCAATAAAAACATTTGTTTTTAAGGTTATGGTTTAAGGCTACGTAAATGTATGTTTTAAGATCATAATTTTGTATTACACAAAGGATTAGCAATTATTAAAAAAAATTTTTTTGAATAATTCATATTTTTGACTTAATAAATCACTGTGCATTACTAGCATTATTTCTTTTTGTATGTTCACCTACTATGCTGTCTGACTGCCAGCAGTGGCAAAACACACAACAGCAGTGGCAATTCCAGATTAGGGTTTTTTCTGGATCATCAATCATGAAAATTAAATCTGGTAAGATCATCAGTTTAAATCTGGTAAGATGGCATGCAGAAATTATACAATTAAAAATATGAAACTGTAATTTATGAAATAAAGAGCAATTATGATCTAAAGGGTATCAAAATTTACAAAAAAAAAAAAAAAAAAAAAAAAAAGCTCAATATTTATTTGTTTACTTTATTAAACATTTCTTTCAATATAAGTTGTTTAAGTTGCTTTGTATTTTGTTCTAATACTTTCGCTTTAATTCTATAAACAGATATAATTTCTTCTTCAGTTACAAAGTTCCACTGTTCAAGTTTTGTAATTGTTGTGTCAAGAATACCTACTAACTTGTCAATCGAAATTTTTTCGCTTTCAATAACCTCTCTGTCACTTTCTTCACTATCGGAAACGGTATTTTCTGGATCTAGAACCATACTTAAGATTTTGCCATTCTTTAATTGATTGATGATTGGGGCATTGTCATTGCAATGAAAAACTTCTGTTTATAGTCATCTTCATTTATTACTGCTTCTCCATTACGTTGCTTTACAAAATCCATTAACTGGAAAATTTCACCTTTAGTTTGCGATGTCCGAAAACCTTCAAATTTGCAGCTAACATCTTCATCATCCTCACCATGAAATATGGTAGCTGGCCATAAATTATGCCAAGCATTTTTTAACGTACCTGGAGACACATCCTAACAACGTGCATGCGTAAAGCATACAAAAAAAAAAAAAAATTGTTTGTGGCTTTGAGGTCCAGATTATAGATCATTCTGGATAATGGACGTCCGGATTACGGACTTTGTATTGCATATAATTTTGCATATATTCTCCACGAATTTTGGGCTCTTTCTCCAAGTTCTCTATTTTACATATTTCTTCTTTATCTTGTATTTAGCATGGCATATTTTTTCCTACGTAGATTTATTTATTTGTCGCCAATACAAAGCTCATTGAGGTAAGGAATTATTGCATTGCTCTGTATGTGTTTTAGTGGTGTAACTAGTAGCATGTCCAACTACCATTGAGAGATTCATAGTTTGAAATCTGCATAATTGATTTTTCCTGTTTTCTAACCTCCCCCCAAAAAAATATAATGCCTCTACAAGCTGAAGGTTTCCAAAATCTCAACTTGCTGCAGGGGGAGGATTACTTAATCTGGCTCTGCTTACAATAATTTACTATTATTATTTAATTGCTTAATTTTATGTTGTCATGTACATGATCAATTTTAAAAAGCTCTTGACCTAGCCCTGCCAAAACTCTTCGGCAGGTCTAGGTCAAGAGCCTGCAGACCAGCCAACCTGATCAGAAAAAGAGGGGAATCTGGAAACAGAAGGGGAGAAGAAAGTGGACGAGAGAGTGCGGCATGTATGTTTGGGGAAGGTAGGAACTTTTTTTTAGAACTGTAATGCAGTGGAGATATTCACGGCTTTTCTTTGTGGGTATGCTGTAAAACAGAAAGGCGGGTATCATGTTAAAATGGTGGAAATGTTCTCGTATGACAAAATTGATTATATATAGTGTGTAAATAAAAAATTATTAATATATTTTTCGGTTACTTTGGAATGAATGTGTAGTTCATTTTTTAAGTCAAAGAATACATGCAAATGTGGATATGAGGAACTCACAGGTCTCATATATGTGAAGAGATAATGAAAACATCACAATGCATTTTTGTTAATTTCTAAAGCACTGTTAAAATTTTATAGTTAATTTAAAATGCATTAAAATTATGAATCTCCATTTATTGCTTACACTGCTCACATTTTGTCAAAAACAACAATAAGAATGACTATGTTTTTATTAGCATACATATAACAACATTTATAAATCAACACATTAACAGGATTATTTTTTAAAATACTATAAAAGAACATATGTAAGCTTAAACTAAAAGAAATAAAATTTTAATATTACTGACATTTTTTAAAATAAAAAATAAAAGAATATTTTCATAAAATCAATGATACATACACTGCAAAAGATAAATTAATAAGGATAATATTAACTAATTCACCTTTTGCAATATATACTGACTTTAACAATTGAAAAGTTATTGAATAATATTTTCAAATGGCATTACTTTATTCAAGTAGGCAGGAATGTTTACACTACTTTGTGAGAGGTTCTAGAAACTGAAAAATATACATACAGGCTTCAAATCTCGGTGCGCATATCCTTTCTCATGAATGAAAGCTACTGCTGAAATGATCTGTCGAAAAAAGTATCGTGCTTCTTTTTCACTTAGACGGTCTCTTTCAATAATGTAGTCAAACAGTTCTCCTCCTGGACAGTACTAAAACAGTGATGATTTTCTTTAGTTCAATAAGTTAAATATATAATTATTATAAAAATTTTCTTAAATATCATATGTGTACAAGGTAAATTAAAAGCAATATCCAGATAAGAATTTTGCTAGAAAAACTTTTAATGAATGTATGTTGTTCCATAGAATTAAGATACTTTTAAATGCAAGATAAGATAGATTAGGTTTGACTAGATAAGGTAAGCAACAAATCATGGTTACTTAAAAATTAACACATAATGTATTCTTAGCATACAACTCATGCATACAAATCCAGCTCTTTTCAACCACTTTAATATAGCTAATACATAACAGTTCTCAACAATTTTTAATTTTCCTCTTTATTTCTCAAAAAAATCAATCAAATTATTACAAATAAACTATATTTGATTCTGTTTTAAGTGGATATTTAAAAAAAAATTGCAATTTCAAAACTTCAAATTATGGTCCACTAGCTCAAAAAAAAAAAATTACTATTAAAAATTTTTAAAAATTAAATATTAAAGAAAGCTAAAACTATAATGTGACATAAAAATTTTAAAAAATTGTATCAGTTCTGTAACATACGATGTTAGAAATATCTTTTATTGCAGCAGAACTGCAAAAATATTCACAAAAGTTTTGCGACTTTTTGATGCGAGTGTGTACCCATATTTATTTCAATAAGAATCTGACTCATTTCAGTGTTTATCTTTTCTAAATTTTTGAATAAAAATTTCAGTCTTCTTTCACAGTTAATCATATTAAATAATCTTAAATTAAACATTCAATAATTATCTTAACAGCCTTAATGATACCAATAACATTTTTAAAAATTTTCTAAAATTGCTGTCCCCATTTTATCTACAAACAACTTATTTGGCACATCTTTACATTAGTATTTTATCCTTCAAAAATATTTTAAACAATGATTTTGCATAAACTTTTTAATCCTTTCTCAATAAGCAACAATTAAGTTTTAATTCTGATAAGCAATGAATTTTACATCAGTCAACATATTACACGCACACATGCCTGCATGAAAATAATGTACAGCTAGATTTTCTATCATCAGCAAACAGATCATGAATTCTATTTATTGATGAAGTGATTTTCACAGGATGATATCTTGAATTTGCACAACCTGCATCTGTACAGATGCATGGTAACTGTACTGCATGGTAACATTACAGGAGTACACATGCTTATGCAAACCAACAGTACTTCACTATGAGCCTGTGGCCTATCTGGAGAACCTCTGATAACATTACTACCTTGGAAAGCAATTTGTGACCATATTCATGTCCATCATGCTCTCTACTAAAAATAGTTTTAAAAAGATAACTATCCAAATTTATCCACAATTTTATTCGAGTAACTCATACTTCATAATTTTATTTTAGTTTTTGGTGACTTTTTTAGAAAATATGTTACCAAATTTAATGGATCTTGTTCCAGCAGTATCATGCTGACACATATTTCAGCATGATGGGATGCCTGCACATTTCAGTACCAATATACAAAGCTGCTTCGAAAAAATCTACCCTTATCACTGGATTGACAGAGGCAGACCAGTCATATGGGTACCACAATCCTTACATTATTCCACATATTTCTTCTTGTGTGGATACATGCAGTTCCTGGCATATGAAATACTTGCAAACTCTGACAGTAATTTAGTCATAAAGATTGTAGAAGTGGTGGCAAGCATCCAGGATGAACCTGGTCAATTTAAATAAGTCCATGAATCCATTTGTTGATATGTGAAGCTTGCACTGCAATGGATGGAATGAATTTTGTACCTTTTCTGCAACCATGATTATTTTCTTTATTTGTTTTGGTAAGGTTTAATATCTTTAATAAAGTCATGATAATACAGCTATTGACTCCCAATTTTTGTATATCGATCACCTTGCTGTAATAATGCATGGTTTGGTTTCCACTCATAACTTTCTGCATAAAACTTACATGTCAAGGTCTGACAGACCAGAAAATAAAGTTTGTAAATCACCTTCTGGAACACGGTGCCTTATTTATAATTAGATATAGTTGCTAATAATTGTACACAGCTAAAAAAAAAAAAAAAAAAAAAAAAAAAAGGACAGTTCTATATTTCCCGTTTTACTGGGTCGATTCACAAAATTCAAATTGCATTCTTTATGTCTCGAAAGTATAGGATATATATTAGATTTATATATAACACTATTCTAACATAGGTATTTTCACACAAAATCGGACTTTTTCTGAAATAACATACCATTTTTTTTACATATTTCGATTCTACGACTCAAATTATGCCTAGATACTAAATTTTGTAAAATTTGGTGCAAAATTTACGGAGAAATTCAACAGTTAATGTTGGCGCTTTTTTTTCTCAGTTACGCCAAGAATAGTTCACTTGGCGAACATTTTAATATATAACAACCTATTTTCCTTTCCCTTTCTACCTCGTACGTGGGGGGTGGAGAAGTCACGATCGTTCCTTTTTTTCAGATAATGGTCTTTATATTATATTTTTAATCATAACTGTTATTATATTAAGTATTTTTTCTTTTTTGAATTTCATTTTAATTGTTTAAGTTGCATGGTTTCTTTTGAATAACTGTTTTAAAAATTTCTATTTACTCATTCGAACTGCATAATTTAAATCAAAGGTGCATCGTTAATTTTTTTTCAAACAGTTTTCTTTATACTACATTTTTAGTCATAGCTACTATTTTAGGTAATTTTTTAATTTTTAGACTTTTATTTTAATTGTTAGTGTTGCATTGTCTCTTCAGATAATTATTTTAAAATTTTCTATTTATTCATTCAACCTGATCATTATAAATATATTTATTAATATAAATTCTAAAGAATTTGATATTGTTTATTTGAATTGCGTTTCTTTCGGAAGAATATTTTGGAACCCAGACTACGATGCATTTGAAAACTGCATATATTAAAAGAGAAAATACAGTAAAGCACAGTTAACACACCTTTCAATGTTCTGTTCAGAAAAGTTACATATATATCAATAAGAGAGATGTATAACCGACATTTTAACTTAGGATGACTTGCATAAACTGCTTTAAACAGTTTTATCATTATACCCATTGCTTTACAATTACATGTGTAATGTGTATGCCAGCTGGTTTCCCTTAGAAATTTCTTCATGAAGGCATCCTTCCTTTTAGGCAGATAGCCCTGCTTTGCCGTAACTTAATAATCCAATTCAATCCATTTCATCAGTATTTGGTCAGAGCCTTTATCAGTTTTTAGAGGCAAAGCATTTTGAAGGTATGAGATGAAAGGAAAGGCTGGTTTCATCAAGAGGTTTTGGTTTATTTAATTATGGCAATGAACACTAGGGCTATCTGCCTAAGAGGAGGGATGCCTTCGTGGAGGACTTTCTAATGGAAACTGGTTCGTATACACGTTACACATGGGGAAAACCACCAGAACGCCCATGCAGCCAGCCTGTTCGCGGAATTTGAACCTCGGACCGAACTACCAGTCTAAAACCGAACCATAGTCTAAAAACAGTCGCTCTTTACTTTAAGTTGCAATGATACCGTTTTTGTCTTTTCTGTAAACCACAAGTTGAATTGATGGTATTTGCTGGTGTACACGTCCAAGTGTTTTTCTCTTTGAAAACCTAAATTCTTTGAAGTATCCTGAAAGTATATTCAAAAGCGTCCAACTTTTTTAAACATCTTGGTATGTCTGACAGCCACATTTCCCTGCAAATTTTTGCTTACTTTTCTCCCTAATTTTCTTCTTTCCTTCTTCAGTTATTTTCAGTGCTCACAAAGAAAATTAAGATTTTTCGATTGCGAGACTTCCATAAATTTTGCATTCTTGTCAAATTTTTAAAAATATCAATTACATAAATTGTGTTTCAGCCGAAGACAGCTTTTCATTTTCTAGTCATTTTAATTATAAATAAAGTTTAAAGCAAAGTCCAAAGGATAAATATTTTAATTAAAAGATTTTCTGTTAAATAAAGAAATAAAACAGTCCAGCACTGTTTATTCTGTACCACTGAGTGACCCGATTCTTATATCGACTGAAACAATCTAAATCATATTAAAGATCATGTTTTTTAATACAATGTATAACGTGAGAGAAAAATTAGCTTCTTAAAACATTCTTTCTAAAAGGATTAATATAAAAATTTATATTTATATATATTTTTTAAAAGCTGGGACTTGAACCAAACTGTCAAACTTTTAAAGTTTAATTTACATGGTGGTTATAATTAAAGTTCCACTTTGAAATGGTCATTAAAGAAAAACTACCGGACCAAATGTTATCACACTTGGGAATGGTATAAAGGAGGTTATGGAAATTTATTTTCCGCGGGGAAAAAAAAAAAAAAAAAAAAAAAAAAAAAAGAGTTCAAAAACTCACCACCAGGGTAAAAATGGCACTGTATGCAGTATTGTTAAATGAAATAAGACACAAAAACATCTGTTTAAAATGTGTTTAATATTTTTCGAAACGTGTTACAAAGCATGTTCAATGTAGTGTCCAGCATTTTCGAAAAGAAGGTTAAATCCTGTTACTGCATTCTCAACAGCAGCTCTTAGCATATCAGGAGGAATTTTACAGACATGTCGGTGTATCACATTTTCCATTTCTGCCAAATTGTTTAGATTATCACCATAAACAGTGCTTTTGAGATAACCCCATAGCCAAAAGTCGCAAAGGTTGAGGTCTGGTGGGAAGAGGGAAAATGTCGGCCTATAAGACTTTCATTCGTGAAATGATGCCTAAGTAACTGTGCGACACATGTGAGGTGAGGCCCAACCCTGCATAAAAATCATAGTATCTAAAATGCCACGTTGCTGCAGTTCATGTATCACGAAACATTTTAACATTGACTCTAAGCGAGCTGCAGTCACAGTGGTCCAGCTGTCGACTGCTCTTCAGAGAAAAATGGTTCAGTTATAAAACTAGCTGCCATTCCACACCAAACGATGTAGAATGATTACTATGTAATTGAATGCAGTAGGAGAATGCAATGGAAC